AGGAAAGGGATGGTTCTTCACTACTAAGAGAAGTGATGGTTCTTCAGTACTAGGGAAAGGGAAGGTTCTTCAGTACTAAGGAAAGGGATGGCTCTTCATTACTAGGAGAAGTGATGGTTCTTCAGTACCAGGGAAAGGGAAGGTTCTTCAGTACCAGGGAAAGGGATGGTTCTTCAGTACTAAGGAAAGGATGGTTCTTCAGTACTAAGGAAAGGGATGGTTCTTCAGTACTAAGGAAAGGGATGGCTCTTCATTACTAGGAGAAGTGATGGTTCTTCAGTACCAGGGAAAGGGAAGGTTCTTCAGTACTAAGGAAAGGGATGGTTCTTCAGTACTAGGGAAAGGGATGGTTCTTCAGTACTAGGGAAAGGGAAGGTTCTTCAGTACTAAGGAAAGGGATGGTTCTTCAGTACTAAGGAAAGGGATGGCTCTTCATTACTAGGAGAAGTGATGGTTCTTCAGTACTAAGGAAAGGGATGGTTCTTCAGTACTAAGGAAATGGATGGTTTTTCAGTACTACGGAAAGGGATGGTTCTTCAGTACCAGGGAAAGGGATGGTTCTTCAGTACTAGGGAAAGAGATGGTTCTTCAGTACCAGGGAAAGGGATGGTTCTTCAGTACCAGGGAAAGGGATGGTTCTTCAGTACTAGGGAAAGGGATGGTCCTTCAGTACTAGGGAAAGGGATGGTCCTTAAGTATAGAGAATAGGGACTCCATCCTATGGCCTTTAAATATGTTAGATCTGCTTTTCTTTTGCATTCTTACAAAACCTGCTTTCATCACACTCATTCAGATTCATTTCAGTTTATCCTCCATTGTTATCATTGGTTCCTCCACTTCAGGTTGTACTGTGATGACCAGACCTCGCTGGGCAGGCGTGGCTGCCAGACTGTCCAGTTCCACATCCTGGACGTGCTGACCAAGACTCTGGCACCTGTCCTGCCTCACCTAGCCGAGGAGATCTACCTGCACCACACCTGTCTGGGGGAAGGTATGTGTCCATTCTACCTCACCTGTATCAGGTGTGTTCCACACTATGCATAAATTATGTAAATATGGCGATCTGTATAATTGATGAAATGTTAAAATGAAGCCTGCCTGCATATTACAACAAATGAAATTTGAGTAGATAAGACCATCAATTAAAATAGATAATGCTAATTACAACCTTATTTCATACTCCATTCCATGGAGGTTGTTTTTTTCCAAACAAAGGTCAATGAACTTGACCAGGTGGTAACTAGTGCTGTAGCAGAGGTGTTGGAATTACATTATGTAGCAAGTGGCAGGACAGAGTTGGAAGGACTGGTCACCATGTACATGTATATAATGAATGTGTTGAGTAAGAATAAACAGAGCTGTAATTTGTTAGACTAGACTATGTGAAGGTAAACACCATACATTTGCTCTGCAACTGTTACCTTAAAGTTTTTAGTTTTATACAGTCTTTGCTAAACCAGGTTTGTCTTCCTCCACCATCAGAAGTTCAGAGTGTGTTCAAGTCAGGCTGGTTTGAGACTGACCCAGGCTGGCACAGACCTGACCTTGAGCCCCTGTGGAGAGTGGCTGAGGATGTGAGAGATGCCTTCAACAGGCAGATAGAGTCAGCAAACCCCAGGCTGTATGATGTGGCCATTTTTGCATCAAGTACAGTCTATGACATGCTAAATGTAAGTGGGGTTGGTGCTCACATACTAACGTATGACACATGTACTCAAAGATTGAAAATAAAACACAGTTTCAATGTAAACATTCAATGGATGGATTGGATGAAAATTGTTCTTGTTCAACAGGGAATTTCCAGGTCAGGAGAAAGTGGTATAGGCTTGCACAAGCCAAGCAGCTTGTTTTTGAACTACCATTGCATTTCTGGTCAGAAACTTTGGAAGAGGTAACGCAAAGGACAAATAGATTTATCGTGTAAGATTTGTACGAGCAGTTCTGTTAAAACTGGCTTTGAAGGGCCGAAAGGCAACCAAACTCGAGATCATGAGGTTGCAGGTTCGATTCCTTACATTCCTGGCTAGACATCATTTCCTTGGGAAAGACACTTTACACAACTTTCCTTTTTACTCCACCAGGTGTAAAATGGGGAGTACCTTCTGGTGGGGAGGTAAAAGGTGGTGATAGGAGAGGGATGGACTCCACCTTCCAATACTGTGTTCTTGATGCAGTGGATCAACAACCCACTGCCCCTATGGCCTTAGAAAGGCCATTGGACCACCTCTACATTTTTTAAACAACTTGAGATCCGTGTGTTGTTCCTTCAGGTGCTGCAGTCTGAGGAAACGTCATGTACCTCTGATCTGTGTGAGATGATGATGTCATCTTTCGTCTCTTTGCACCCAGAGGACCATCCAGAGAACAGTCCAATATCCGGGACTAAACAGACTCTGTCTAAAGTCTCACAACATGAGTGTGTAATGTCAGGTCCAGGTAGGTTTGCTTTCCTGATGGATAGAAAAAAATTATTTGTATTCCACACCCCTTTTTCCTGTAGTGTAGTTGTCAAATCTGCTGTATTCTTTGAAAATGATGCTATGGTATACCACATATAGCGTAGTTGTTGAGGCTGACATTTCAGTAAATTGATACATACTATCGAACTGTATCATACCTCTTGAATCTTTTAAAAAAATAAGGGGAACTTCTTGTCCTTCCAGATGGCAGCAAGGAGTTGGCCACCTTCACCCTCCACGTTTCTCCAGCCTCCCATCAGAAGTGTGAACGCTGTCGGAAGTACGTGGCTGAATCCCCGACTACACCGTGTGACAGATGTCTGGCTGTCATGGCTGACTCCTGGGCCACATGACACGAACTATCACCTAGTGTATATCTGATATTTTTCACAGTAATTTTATGTTCACAGTTTTCACAGTCACTTCTGTACTATGAACTTTATTTATCATTACTATCATTACCTTTATCATATCATTTGTCTTTCACCTCACTCCCCCTTCCCTGCCACTGTGAAAATTTGGTTCCGTAAACATGTTCATTTTCCTCAGAACGTGAACATGAAGACAAAGTGAATTACAGTATTTTTAGTTATGAGAAGAAATTCATAATTAGAAAATAATAATTGGAAAATAATTAGATTCATATGACATGTACAACTCTAGCACAAAGATGGACCATTTTGAAAACAATATTGACAAAAGATAATAATTGCTTTGTCTTTTATGGTTAACATATTATAAACTTTATCCATGTAGGAAACTTATAATAACCTTTAGCATGCTGAATCAAGTGTGGATCAGTACCAAATTTAAGGTATGTAGGATGCTGAAGGTTAATTATACATTTTATTTTCTGTTAAAAGTATCCTTGTAAGAGATAGTAGTCACACTTATCAGGGTCCTTATGATGACTAGTGAACTGTTTTAAATAAATCCATGTGCAAACAAATTGCCTTTTACAACAGTGGTGTGTGATGTACATTTATGCGGACCATATATTTGACATTATATTTGCCCTTGTCAGAAGGTGATTTTTGGTTTTGGCTTGGTCATTTTTTTGTCAATAAAGACCTAATTTGCAAACAGAGAAAAATGCTATACATTTTGTAGATAGTGAGCAGCATTCTGTATGGAACAATTTGTCATTCGATGATCAGTCAAGTGTGTGGGTAGCCATGTTGGTGGCAAGCCTCCAACATAAGAGAGACTGTGCTTTCGAGAGTAGTCAAGTGGTGTTTTGTTGATTAATTATGTCATGATCATAGAGTTCTTGTAAATTTGGCGTGGTAGTTAAGCAACACTGGACTTCAGCACCCAACACTCGCTGGCAATACCTAACTCCTAAGTATGGATTGTTTAAAACTTTGTTTCTTAGGAGGGAGAGGCAGACAAGACAAATCCTATTAAAATGATTAAAAGTTTTGTCAATCCGGTTACTCCTGTCTAGTTCTGTTGATGCAGAGAAACGTTATACGGTTACAACATCATCTACTTGGCTATAAATGTTCTCCTGTATCCACCACATCATTAATAACGTATTCGGCCGCCTCCTTTGTTGATTATTATACCGGCTCTTATCCCTCCCCCAGTTTCTGTGGTTTATCTAGCACTAATCTTGTTTGTTTTGCTAATAGCGATCCAAATAAAGTTGCTCCGAGAAATGACCTGAAAGAGCGGCATCTAGTGGCTGCCTACGTCACACTCTCATCTACAGTAGCCACTTCTCCGGTCATGTTCACTGTTCGGGAAAGTTGTTTACTTATTCAGGGGAAATAATTTCATTTAAGCCCGTACAATGGATGTGTACAGTTACGGTAGTATCAGATACCTTGCCTCCTGGTGAGGTGTGGGTTAAAAGCTAATTACCCGGATAAAAGGCGCACCTGGGTAACGGATATAAAAAAGCAACCCTAAGCCCCCGGCTCTACGTTCAGATGACCTGGGCCTTCGATACCAATGGAAACCTCGGGCAACAGATCTTGTTGGCTGTTATCTATGTGGCATATTTAACCCCCACGGTGTGCTTCTTGGAAGCGCGTGTCTCTCTTGTAAGTTTCCCGAGCTGTATCTACGAGTAACTTCCTCGTCAGTTCTTTGCATCAAGAGTTGTAAATTGAAGGTGAGCAGGGTTTTCTTTTACGATGTTAAGGCAGCATGGAGTGTGGAGTTTTAATGACACTACATTGGTAGAATGCTCAGGCTTTCCTGTTTTGCCATCGTGATTTTTCACATGTTGACGTGACAACAAGTGACCGAGCCAAAGTGATCCTATTGGAACTTAATCGTTTACGAAGGCGCTCGTCGCAGTAAGAACGTCCACAGATACGATGTGTGCGTACAATCTTCTAAAATCACTGCTGCGCTCAACACCATATAACTTTGTTATGTACGTTATATGATAACGGAAGACAATAGAAGTAACTAAATCATTGTATCCATTGTAGCCACTAAATGTAGCTATCTCCACATTTGGTTTGTTGACGACCAAACACAGAGGCAAGGTTGACTGCATAAGTCAGCTCGCCAGCTGAGACGACCCTGTAATAATACATTTGCTGCTGCAGTCATCACAATTCACAAGTTCACATTTTCTCTTTGGTATTTGCAAACACAGGTAGATGTTTACATAGAACTTCTGACAACAGTGACAACTCGTCACCAAGGTAGCCCGGAGGGCTTTGGTCTTTGTTGAAACTACGAGATGTTTACAAAGTACTTGTCATACTAGCAACTGACTGTGGCTCATGCACAAAAACAGACATGTCGACTGTGAAGAAAAACCTTAGTCGTCGGCGCCGAGAAAAACGCCGAGTGGCCAGCCGAACCGAGGAAGAGGGCTCCACCGATCACCAATCTTACCCACCATCCTGGACGGAACGCGTCGCCACAGAAAAGAGACAACGCGTCTACCAACAGCAAAACAACATCGTCAAGAAGGAATACGAGAAAACGTTACAGACCATCCGTCGAGAGAGAAGAACCTTCAGGAAGGACATGCGTAAAGCAATGGCTCTGTTACGGACAAGCCTGTCAAAAATAACAACAACGGGAGAAAGGGGGAAGTCTAGGAGGCGTCAAAAGTTTGTTCACTTTCCACATTTGCCGCTCTCAGGCGAAAGCGGTGCATCAAGGCATGACGACCATACGGAAACAAAACTTCCTACCGTACACGTAGTAGGTGGCAAATCGCGACGTAAGCCAGAGCCAAAAGACCCTACAGAAGAACAGAAACCCCTGAAGGAAGACGGGTCTCTGCCAGTGCTGAAGAGATGGGTAGAATCTGAATCTGAACAACCGCCTGATAGTCGCAGTCCGCGGATTGACCCCACGTCTTTTCCGCGGGTAGGGAAACTGGACTCACAAGTCTTCATCACCAAAATCACGTCTGATCATGACATCACCTCTGCTCACGAGAACGTTGGAAGGAACAAATCGTACAAGAGTACACCGATGTTGAAGGAAGCACCTCCCAAGACGGACCAGACACCTCTGCATACAGTCATAGAAGAACCTGAGGGTAATGCCAATGATGAGAGTGATGAAGGAGACGAAAGCGTCCCCATCGCGGCGTATGTAGATCAGAAACCGTCTGTATTGCCCGTGGCTGAGGCAAAGACAAGATGTCGCACCTGGCCCGGAGAGGGGCCTGTGGAAATGTTTCCCGGTAACGGATACACGTCTGACATGATGACACGGCTGCTCCAAAACGGCGTGCTGTACACGTACAGGCCGCCCGACCAGGCTCCGTTATGGCCGGAACCTGACCTCAACACCAGGCTGAGAGCGGCCACCTTGCGGTCTGATGCACTAGTGCGGGCCGGGAAAGACGGAGGAGGGATGCGGGCGTGGTTGGGACTCGCATCAGAGCAAGAACCGAACCCCATGAGGAGGCCTTCCATTGGACAGAGAAGGAAGAGCGTAGTGCAGTTGAGACGAGAGAGTCTTTGGTCTCTGGACAACTACGAGTAACATCAGTCTTCTTAAAATATTCGCGAGAAAGACTCGGCTGTTGTATAAGTCTGGAGGTTAGTTAATGTACACTATTTGATTTAAATTGTTCGGACGTTTCTTGAGGGGCTGCTACCAAAGAGGCAACTCTGGATTATGACTCCTCTGTATAACGTTACATCTCCAAAATGGCGCTTGAAAGTTGTCCAGTCCGACTATTAGTGTACGTAAAAGGGGAGCCGTAAAAATACTAAAAGGACATTTCCCTTGTGTTAACTACACCAGTAACAAGTCCCCCAATAGCTACCTGTGTTGTGTTAAGATAACATTCTATTCATTGATACTCACGCGATCAGTAAATCAATTACAAAGCACACAATCTTTCCACACCTGCAAACAGAGGAACGAACTGTGTTGGTAGAGTAATGCAGGTTTGAACCGCAAGGCGGTGCATCTGTGACGTTCCAACTTCCGAGTAGCTTTCTGGCAGAAAACTGTTCTGCAGTGCCATTTTAGTTGTGTTCGTCGTTTCCTCCCGCTGTCGTCTTAATTAAGAAACGCTGAAATGACTTACCGTATTTGGAAGTTAATTGAAGCAAGGAGCTTATAAAAACGTCCTTGATTTAGGGTTATCAAAACGTTCTTGATTGAAGGTGAACACTGAATTAAACATAACTTATTCAAATAAGAACCTCATTTGTATGTGACGAAAAGCTAGAATAGCATTTACAATTGATGAGCATTTACAATTAGTCGGAAATGTTAACATCATCTGGCGAAGGTAAAAGGTCGTGGAACTCTTGTTGGATATCTAGCCTCATGTGCAGGCCCCGCGGCGGTGGGGAAGAGTTTTTAACGCGTTATTTTATTAATATAGCCGGCCATCCTACATAGCCGCCGAGAGAAGGTTGCTTTCCGCCCACGTCGGCTATGTAGGATGGCCGGCTATATTAAAATAACGCGTTAAAAAATCTTCCCCACCGCCGCGGGGCCTGCACAGGAGGCTATTGGATATCATACTTTACTGGTACAGAATAGCGACCCTCTGTGGCAGAGGTCATGAATACCACCCTGATATATTGTCCAGTAGAAACCTTGAAACTTCATCCGAATATAATTCGTTTGTGCTTTGTTGGTAGATCTATCCAGTAGCCTAGAACTCCAGACGTGATTCAAGGGCATATAAACAGCGATGGTAACCATATACCCATGAAATACGACTTCTTTACAACGGTTTTCCCTTACAAATCTTGCAGAAGCAAATAGTTTTGTCAGGGAGTCCGTAATCTCCATTTAATCCACGTAATCCGCGAAAGATCCTTATCTGGATTTTGATAACAGGTCATATCAGGTGTTGGTGAGGTGCGACCGGTCCCGAGCCTAATTCTCTGTGGCCTTGTCGACCCTGTGGTGTCTAATCTTACCATTCTGTTTTGAGTGATTTCCAGCTAAAACTTCAGCAATTTTAACGCTTTTAACACAATAACCAAACTTCACGAATTGACCTCATTCTACATTTATTGGGCATTTCCTTGAATTTATTCCCCGGCAACCAGAGAAAAGCAGCAATCGGCATAAAATACAAATCAAAGTTTATACATGACCTATACGGCAGCCACATAAATGTTTATGATGTGCTAACTTCCAGGCATAAATGGCAGTTTTATTATCTGCTGAAAGGTCCTATATACTCTGGACAGAAATTATTTATAAATCTTCAGAGGCCAATATGATTCTTTCCCTTTGCTCTTTATATGTTCTTTATATTTTTCTTCTGGTAAAAAGTTTGACAAAGCCTCGAAACTGCCGAGTTCCGGTAGCCGGGCGCCCCTGTAGTAGAAAACCGCAGGTAATTGATACGTGTCAAAACATCCTGTGGACACGAGCGCACAATTAACTGTGCTGCCGTACTGGGAGAATGGCCTGGGTAATGTGATATATCGTTCATAGGGTTCCTTTGTCTGGATTTAAGTTTATATAATCTATCAGGCGTAAAATGTGTTTAATGAAACATATATATCTTCCCTATGGCTATACCTTTTCCCTGTGGGAGCATATTATAAATGTAGACATCGCTAATGCGCTCTCCAAAATATGATAAATATAATACTAGTAGATCCATGGGAAATAATACCAACTAACTTAAATTCAAGTGAATAGAAATAAACTTGTCATGTATCGCATTTTTTTGTGAATACGTAATTGCCATGTTTACATCGTAGATATGTTTATCTGTAGTGCAAGGAACATGTCTCCTTTGTAGTCTTAGAAGCGTCGCCTCAAGACACGCAGCGCTGAAGTGACACCGCCTTTAAGAAACCTGCCGTATATATAGGGAGAAAAAATAAATCGATGACTAAGTCCCAAAGCAGGCCGCTACTGGGGTTACGCTCCCTTTACCGTGTGTAATTTCTTCCAAATACCGTGAAGAAAGAAAATAATTAGAAATACGCTTAATACATTCTTAAACGGTGTGTCTCGGAATGCTTATAAATTGAGTGATTAACTCGCGGGGCATGTTGATGTCAGCTTGTCACCCTACCCGGCCCCGAAGAATTCCTGAGTTGCTGACCGAGACCACCCCTACCCCAGGTTTTCCCCCAGGGTCATTCTACTCCCGTGACGAGAACCCCCGCACCCCTGGGTGGAGAGAGCTGACACAGAACCGGGGACACCGTTGGAAAGAGGTGTACGTCGTGGCTTTATTGAGCACGAGTGACCAGCCAACTCCAGCGGGACACCTGTCCACTACTAGAGCGGTCTCTCAGTCCTCTGGTTACGGTAGGGCCTGGCTGCCCTCGTGACACATACCTCTTGTCGACCATACCGTGGCGTACAATTGATATTTAAATACGAGGTCTTGCTTTACCGCTCCGAGCAAAACACACACCCGAACGGCGTCCCGCCCTCAGATTTACAAAAGTGTCACCGTTCATCCGACAGGAAAGTATGCGGCATGCAAATCTATGCAAATACTGGGGAGTGAGTGAGGAACTTGGCGCGGTGTAGTGTGTGTGTGTGTGCCGTGCACGGCGGCAGCTCCGGTGTGTCCGTACCGTACTCGGGACTCAATGGGAACCGTTCTGTGGAGGCCAGTATGAGCAGAGCGGAGTGAAGGAAGGATGGACGCGATCTCAGGGACGAGGCGACAGGTGCTGTTGGGACTTTACCTGGCGGGCGGGTGGCTACCGGGCGCCCGCGCACAGACTGCGGGATGTAGCGTGAACATCCCCGGGCTAGCAGTGGGATGTGTGCTGGGGACGCTTGCCCTGTGTCTCATCGCATTCGGCATCTACTTTCTTGTCAGTCGGAAAAAAGGTGAGTGGCGTGACTAGAAAATTTAAAATGCAACCCCTCCACGTCTTAAATATTTCTTAAAGCAACTTAATAATCCCGAGGACAAACGTCTTGACTGATATGGTGTTGTCACTTGAAACCCGTTGTCAACCCGAACTCCAAGGTGTGTGGAAGCTAATCTAGTTCCTACACTGCGCAGAATTGCAGCGAGTTATCTTCAAGGTAAACATTGTAAAGGTTGGCGTCGTGTTGCCTCCTAGCCCTTCTTTGAGCTTTCAGCGCAGTGCATTGGCCCAATTCTCCCCCACCGATGTTTTCAATACACACCTCTCCCAGATCATATTCCCTACGTGCCAAGAAAATTGGCTTTAGAAAGAGCGCGTAATTCGGTGGCTTGTGTGCCCCGGCGCTGTGAGGAGAGAGAGGCGGGCCTGCCACACTGCTGTGAATTAAGGGTTCGGTGTTAGCCGTCATCCTAGAATCAACAATACCGATGTGCTAATTTACTCGGCCTTCATTCCCCGCGCAGTCAAGCGAGACCGAGCCGCTTTCCTCGGGTTTTGCAGTCGTCCAGGCTAAAGTTCCACACTTTAGCGCCGCCCGTCCCCCCACATTTACTTCTTGGGATCCTTTGACCGCCTCTGGGCGGAAGCCACAATCAGAGAAGGCATCTAGTTTAAACATAAGCTACCACCTGCGACAGAGAATCGGCCGTCGACATACCAACGCTCATGTAAAGCCAAACTGGCATGGAACTTGCCCCCCGACGCTCTGCCCACAAAAGGCGGCCCTTTCCCCCCTTTGTTCGCGGCGCTTTGGACAACATTGTTTGGCGCTGAATTGAAAATTGTCGCGCATCCAAACGTCGAGAGTTTCTGTAGAGGTGAAACCAGCGATCCCTGCCCAGGACCAAAATGCTTGTCCAGCAAACCATGAAGGAATGTGCGGTAGTTGAGCACTCTTAGCAAACACCTGAGCGCCACACCGGACTATGCCGGGCCACCACGGATGGCTGTACCCCTTATGAAACTTGAGAGGTCCTGCTCTCTAAAAATGCCAGATGAAAATTCCACCCCCCAACTAAATTAACCTCTCCCCACTTCAACTTCTCTGTTAAACTGTAACCTCTCTGTCCATGTAAACAGGTGGCAGAAGGCACCCCCTGTGTTACAGAGCAAGAGGAGGGAGGGGGATGGGTCAGATATTTCTAAAGCACACCAGGAGTATTGTTGTCCCACTCCTTACAGATACCTGCTAACAAAAAGGGCTCCTGTTGCATTTCTCCCAGGCACAGCTAAAGTCATTTCTGTGTAGTGCCTTCTGTCTGTCTAGTAAAGTAGGCTACCTTTTGGAACTTTAACCACCAAAATGTTAATGGTTGATTATCAAGCCTTCTCTGATAAAGTCCTGACAATACAGGGTTATAGGACTATGGTTGTGTTCTAGACTGCTCTTGCTGTTTTTATGGTCAACTATATCCCTGTTGTGTCCGTACCTTTAGTTAATAAACTGTAGAGAAGACCAAAAATAATGACCAGAAATGGGGAAGACAGTAACATCTTCCCACACCATCCAGGTTTCCATCCCTAACTTCTAAGCTATTTCAAACAATTGAGGAATTTTGATATATTTTCTCTGAAATCTCAAAGTCCAACCATATCTTGGTCAAAACAAAATTATCCTCTAATGAAATAGGAACAGAACTATTACATTTAAAGGCCAACCACTATGTTGCAGGTGACATATACAACAGAACAGGAAGATTTCAAGGTGACAGTCATTTATTATGAGGTTTTTAAAACAGTAAATTTGACAGGGTGTGGTGGGCGTGGTAGGAAGCACACATGATTAATAGGACAACAATGGAGCTGGTATCAGTGTGATGTACATTGTATTAGGATAAAGCTGATCAGATTATGAGGTCAACAGAAGGGATAATGAGCTGCTATTGTCCAGTGTTCCTGTGCATTCCTACATATGATCCCCTTCTGACATGACTGCTTGCCTCCCCACCACACCCTCGGTTTCTTAGGGGCAGAAAAGTCACATGTTTGACTTATCATCAAATCAAACTAACCTTTATCGTTACAATTCTTCTGGAAAATGTCAAAGTTGTTGGTTGTGTTCTAAATCTAATATCTAACTTGTGTAAAAATATTTGAGTTTCTAAAAAAACACATATGTTAACTTACGAAAAACCAATTTCACTTTACATTGAAGAATTTTCTTTTCATTCTAGCGACAAGTACAAGATGAAATGTTTAACATTTGTTTGACAAGACAAGGGCACAGCATGCAGTACATTACATGCCCTTGGCCTTGGCCATCCTGCTGTGATGTCAACATTGAAATGCAAAGAGTAGACAGGATACAAGACAGCAGAACATTGAACAGACATGCAGGGCAGACCAATCTATCACACTAAGTAACACTGTCCACTTAACATTCAGGTGGACATGAGAAATTTACTATCTGCATGAATTTTTTGCAGTCAGTTATATGAAGAAATTTCCCTTTAAAATGAGATTTGACGCTTTCTTGCACACGCAATAACAAGTACAACTACAGAGTTTCTAACATAATAACATTACCCTTGAAATTGATAAAACTACTTCATAAGTTTAAAATGATATTATATTAGCTTGTGAGATCTGCTTATTGAGATAAAAGTAGTGGATTACAACAATAACGGGAAACTGTAAGCCTTTAATTGATGAAGAGATTTGTAATGAAAAATATACAGCCTGGCATCACCATTAAAATGGTGCCGGGAAGTCTGTTACACCAGACATAAAAATAGAAATATCAGTATCAGGTCAGAGCTGAGATTTACCACTTTGAGGTAACGCAAAGGGGAAGGATTAACCTTCTCCCTGCTTCCTAACACTGTAACCAATACAAGATTAGTGCCAAAGCTGCTATCTCAGCAGGGAGAAGGTTAAAGGTGCAGCTGGTGTTTATATTGACATACCTTCCTCCAGTATGAGATGCATTTCCTACCTGCGAAGAGAATATTTTGCTGCTAACTGCTCGAGAAGACATGTACAAAGTGTCAGCTCATCCTTTAACTTTCTGTCTTTTGCGGGCTTAACCGAGCACCACATTTATCTTGGTTACTGCAGAAGTCAGCCCAGAGAGGATTCGAGAACTGACATTCCTCAAAACTGTATATGAAAGAGGTAGAATGCACGTAGCCCAGGGCTGTATGTAGAGAATGTCTGTGTTGACTGTTGGCTGACCAGAATAGCGCTACGTAACTTTGAAGATAAGAGTGCCTGTCCAACCTTTTAGTGTAACTCCCCCAGTGGAATATTTATGGTGCTGTCACACCTGTAGGTGTCACAAGTACCTTGATAAATAATTGTTGTGGAGTCAATTACTCCTGTATTTCAACAGGTTGTCCTTGAAAGAAGGTTTTGTAAAGGAAGGTGGAATTGTATGTTGTTTTCATTGAATGAAGAGTTTCTATGCATTCGGTAGTCATAGTTGATAATGTTTAAATTCATTATAGACTGCCTTGGTAGATATAGCATGCTGTAATTAAGAGATAAATCCCAATGGCTTATTTCAGAATACAGTTCAAGTGCTGCACTTGGTTGATAACGCATTGAACAACACAGTGATGCTTCATGTATGTAAAATAAATGGCATATGGTTGATGCACACTCTTTGGCATGTAATAAAGATTTTCATCTCTTGCTTGGCTGGGTGTTTGTCTGCTGTGGAAACAAACTGTTCCCTATTTGTCACCCGAGGCTATTGTCACACAGAACGTGTTGTTGATAACAACATCCACTGCGATTTACACTAATCTTAAACCAACATGCTCTCTAGATAAAAAACAAAGAACGACAGAGAAAAATAAAACAAGATGCTTATTGAAATGTTCTTCTTCTTTTTTTATTGCAGCAAAGAAGAGGAAGGCATTGCAGGTTGCAGCTGGAGGGCCAGGTGATCTAGAATCAGGTCAGTAATCACTTTGTTGCCATAGCAGAAGCTGTAGACTGATCGTCCAACCACTACCAACAAACAACAAATAGAGTTAAGAAGGCCCCTATGCACCCATCACTCAGACACATTTCTGTGACTAGATACTGAAGAAGTATATCACATTCTATAACTCTGGAAATGGAAATCCTTGGGCTCTGTGAGTTGATGTATGGCATGCTAAAACTGTGCACAGTCTACGTAGAACATCAATTTACAGTCTGGCAGTTAGATAGGTACCAGTCAAATTGAGACATATTGTCGTTTGTTTGTTCAATGGATCATTTTGAAAACTTGCAGACAGTCTAAATGGTGTCTTACTCTTCTACAGTAAAAGATGTAATACTTGTTATATTGAATTAAATATACAATGACATGTATTATACATTTATCAAACAGTTGCAATCAGAAAACTCTGCAAACTAAGTGCTAACAGAATGGATATCCTGCCAGGAATATCCGAAATTATGTGGGAGGACTTGAAGTCCTTCCATTATAATGGCCGATAAATCCATGAAAGATGGAGATTCATTCAAAACAGTCCCCTTTCTGTGCAGAAGAGATAAGAGGATCATGTCTGTATGGGGAGAATATGACCAATAGCTTCACATAAATCCTGACTGAGATCAGTTTGACCGTACCTGCCTTGTCCTTTCTTCAGTGGTAGGTATGAGATCGGAAGACGCGATAGCACAAATTAGAATACCTCTCTGTCTGAGGAAAAGATATGAGATCAATGAAGCCCATGCAGCAGAAGAGGGGCCTTTCTTATGTGCTAACAAAAGGTTTTCTGTGCTTGGAAGGATGTTACTGTTCTAATGCTGGAAAAAAAGTTTTGGCCACCTGCTTATAATACATTTGGAGGTAACTCAATACAGAAAAATTTTCACACTGAGAATAATAGACTCAACCTTAATATTGGGAACATTTCTTATTGTTTTCAGATATTTCCAAATTTATATAAAATAGCCCCCCCCCCCTGAATTGCATTATGAAAACTGATGTAAACTGATGTTAAAACCTGAGACTAAAGAGGTGCTGTTGCGATACTTTTCCTAAAATTCCGTATTGGTGATGAGACTCAGTCTGCAGGTGTCATCAGCATTCCTCACGAGTTGTACGTGTAGCAACAACTAATGCATAATACTGTCTGTACATCAATCAGTGTCACGGTAATGCCCTGTTTTCCACACTCCCTTTATTCTCCGCTCAAAAGGTACATAAGGAGTTGTTAGTGTCCTCAAGTGTTTGAACCTGTGGCGGCCGCTGTCTCGTGCCAGTAATTCTCCCGGTCCCGTCTGATCCCTGACCCTTTGCAGTGGCCCTGCCCTCAGATCCCTTACAACCAAAATAGTCAGGCCTGGTTTGGCATTCAGAACATCTTGTCATGCCCCATGTCTCCTGTCGGTGGGCGTGTTGGTCCTTTCTCCCCTCCCTTTCACATGCAAATCAGAAGTGCTCAAAGAGGCAGCTTTCACGGGGAGGCACAGACCTAATTACTCCTGAGACCATCGCGAGTGACCTTACTGCTCCGAAAAAAGAAAGCGTACAGTAAAGAAAGTGGTAATGTCATTACTGAAGGACGTATGTCTTCTTTAAGGGCTGCCTGGTATTTATCTCACCTTTCCTGTTAAACAAACAAGAGTGTCTATTACCCAGGTAAAGCCGTCAGTGCTGTGGGTGCTCCCAAACCTAACCAAGTGGAAGTGTAATGCTATGTCAACATAAACATTTCTGACATGGGCGATATAGTGTGGCTGTCAGGTGGCCAATTTCCATGCATTTCCAGTTTATAATCTGAGCCTCCACCAGCAGATAGTGTCTTCTTGCATCCCACTGGGGTGTTATATCCACCTGTAACTTGAGCAAAAAGCTTTGGAATTCCAATATTTTATCATGAAGGGCCCTGGAATGCACAGTATGTGCACGCTTGGTACACAATGCATTGCTTTGCATCTGGTGTGAAACGCTGCTTTTACAAGGCACAAAGGCTGTATAGTTGGGACAGTTCATATACTACAGTGTTGTGTACAGCTCTAACAACCTTCCAGATATGTGGCCTCCCTCACCTAAAGATGCTTACAGGTTCTATAAATAAGTGTAAGAGATTTGGCCAATATTACGGTTGCTGGGCCTGAAGTATTTGAGGTGTAGGTTGGTGTAGCTATAGGCACAGTGGTGCAGTGAAGCATGATAAACACCTGGGACAGGGGAGCTCACATTCCTTAGGTTTTAATGCATGGAGGTGTCATGTAAGGTGCTGTTTTATTGTCGTTTTATGCATCGATAGGGACTATAGAATTACACAGAAGGTGTAGTGCATTTGACATACTACTTACAGTACTCTACAATGTCATAATTTAGACTACAAATGTCCATACATGTACTCTGTCAGATGTAAATAGAGAAGCTTAAATGACACAGAATATGTCAATTTAAGACCCATCTAATGAAAAATACCATTATGCTCAGTTTTTATAGAAAATTGCAACTGAAACCTCCTGTGCAGTCCTTCTGTGTGGCTGGTGGTTTTCTACATAGTTTGGGGCTGACTTATGTTGTTTTCTTATAGCTCACATTGTTCTTACCTAATAGTATGGCCATTAACTAATCCTTACGCCACTTCTAGGGTTGCAATGCAGATTAAGTTTTGCCATGATATAAGAACAGGCAATTAAAAACAGTGGAAATCTGCCTCAAAAACCATAGAAAACTAAAACTCTAACTGAAATGTCATGCACTCAGAAGTCTAGTCTTCCTCAATCACTCAAACTCACTCACTATCCTGTAAAAATAAATTGATTACCGGATGCTGTCAACCATCTTCATCTATCTCAAGGTGTGTGGGAGATTTGAAATGTCTCCTGTTACCATTTTTACACACAGCATCAGCTTTATGGTATTACATATCTTTCATGTGGATGAATTCTCGAGCGCTGGTTTCCAGTATTAATGAGACACCATGGGACAGCCAGTGGCAATCAAAAAGTCCTTCTCCATGTTTCGTGTTTGGAATATTTATCAAGTAGTCTGTAAAAATAGAAACAGGAGAGCTTTTCAATTAACCTTATAGGATGAAATCACCAAGCGTGTCTTTCAATTCTGTAATTAGCATCAAATTAAATGCAATTGTCATCATAAGAAATGGTGATGCTTCATATTTTGTCATATAATAACATTAAGTTGATAAAAATTGCTTCTGACAATGTGTAAAATAACATTTGAAATTTAGATTGAAAAGTTTATGGCCTAGCCAGTGCACATGGTCAATATCACCTTTCAACACTTCCTTTCACTGTATACAATTCAATGGTAAAATATTTTAAATGTTAATCTGACGGAATGTTTTAAACTTTCACTAGTGGGATTAGCATAATGATAATGCACTGCAGGAATGGCAGACAACTTTTTCCCCTGGGAAATTGTGGCATTTAGCTAAGCCTTACATCTAGCTGCAATAGAATAGCTCTAAAATTGCTTAAAATCACTGCTCTTCCCTCTAACCATTTACATCATTGGTCAGTGACATGTGGACCATCATTTAAAGAATGGCTCTTTAATATGGGATTTCTTTGAGGTTCAGTCGGCTGCTCTTTGCTTGACCTTTGTATGAACTTTTGATTTATCACCTTAGTGTCATGTCTTCATAGTACAAAGATAGCACAATAAGGTGATAAATCAAATCCTTTCTAATTAGACAACCTTCTTAATTGGAGCCTACACAACTGTCTGCAACGTTATCACTTTTTCTGCAGACTCTTGCACGGCTATTTTCTATAATCATAGGATGATTATTGAATTTGGCCAGCTTGAACTATCCGACTTCCAGCACCCCGAAACTGTGCGTTCTGCTGCTCTAAGAGTGCTAAAAGATTATCGATAAAACTGTCAGCGATAACGCATGCTGATTTATCCACACTGCTGTGTCGGCCCACACAACAAAGGCCCACAATCATTGGGAAGCCATTACTGACAGGTTGAGTGAGCTAATAATGTTATGGAGAATTGATGCACCTGCGACAAAACACCACATCAGAGCGTGGCTTCTCCAGTCGCTGTACCGACCCCAAGAGGCACACTACTGTGGGATGTAGCAGCACGGGCAACGGTTTACCGACCGAAATCAATTCTGACCCGTTTGTGCCTCAATAGATCACACCCGTTCCAATAATGATCTTGGATTGCTGATATATATGGATGCAGACAGTAAAATCTGGGTTTCCAGCTATGGCATGCATTTTATGATTGCTGTTGGTCATTCAGACAGATAATGGTCACTGGATAACCGATCGTTGGTGAAAATAAGCTTAAGTCTCTGCATTTTCCCTCCTACCCCGAGCTAGCAATTTCCGAACAGACGGTGTATGTCGCAAACTACATGTTGTATGTTTGACCTACCATGACTGAAGGTAGTGATGTCACATCAGTCATGTGAGTGCTGAGGAAGAAGTGTTCACCTCTCAAATTAACAGAACACGTGAGTCAGGGTAGCATGTACAAATGTATGTGTGCATGTAATTAACTCTACAGTAGCATACAATGTTGTCATGATAAATTCTGCAGAAGGTACAATGCTTGATTCGAAGTGGAACTTGTTTTTGCTGATATGGCGCTGAATTAATAGTCTCATTGGGTTATCCCTTTCAGAATGTTCAAATTCTCCACACCAAATAACCACAATTAATAAGCAATGTTACTTTCTTTTTATGAAGCATACCTTTGAGTTGGATGTTTTTCCTTAATTCACAGCTAATATTACGCACTACAATGACATGCTTTTACAGTATTTTGATGACAGATTTTTCCAAAGATACTGCCTGCTATACTGTCATAATGTGATATATCATAATGGAATATGATATTAGATGTGTGTCAGTAGACGTAACTTGCAGACAAATTAGACATGCGAGTGTTCTTTAATCGAGGGAAACTGGCACATTGCTCCCTTGAGGGCTATCTCATCTTCTGAGCTCAGGCTG